TAGATGAGTACATATATATGGTATTATTTATGAGTTTGGTTGTGGTGGCAATCTGTTATTTACTTTCACTTGACGAATGAAATCACTTACATATGTACCATCTGCTTACAAAAATATTTTACTGTTTAAAAAACAAACTATGAGAATAAAACACGTTAATTCAGGCAGCCATTTTAATCAGCAGTTAAATTGTGATTACAGTATTTACAGTTAGCTTAGTGCTATGAGTGAAGAACTGAAAATCATGTAAATATTAACCTGCTAATCCTACAAAGATGCAGGTTTTATTATTGGCATGTGGTTGTTCATTGTTGATGGTTTCTAAAAGGCCTTAAATGAATGCAGCTATGTTTAAACATTGAAACCCTGCAGACACTCAGACATATAAAACCAAGATGAATGAAATTAAATCACATGTAATGCTGACCTCCTGCTGTTCATCTTTTCTGTTTGTTTTCATGCAGGGAAGCTGCAGAAGAAGATTCTAACAACACAGGTGTGTCTCCCTTTCACTGCACATGTAGAGAACACGCATTACTTGGGACTAAAGGTGCTTTTGTCTGTTTCCTGTTGGCGTCTTTCCAGGAAGTTAATAAGATGTTGGTCGCTGCGTCTAAAGCGCAGGCTGGTAATGACCTGTTCAGAAACTTAGGAGACAATGGTGAGTTATTAATCTGTCGTCAGAGTGGTTAATACACCGGAGCTCCAGGCTTAATGCCCTGAATCCACATCTGTTCACACAGTATGTCTGGATTCTCTAACACTGGATTCAGGTCACACTTAACGTGTGTTTATCTGTGTAATAGAAAAATATACTCTGTACGTTTGCATATTATTTATTTTCAATGTCAATGTATATGTCTTGGTTATCTTCTGTCCAAAGGAAAGTGTATCATACACGTCTTCATGTATTTCAGGCCTGATATCTTACACAGAGTACCTGTTCCTGCTGACCATCCTCACCAGTAAGTCATACATCTCCAAACCTCACATGAGCTGCTGGGCTTTCTCCACTCTTCTCTGTCAGTAACAGATTTCCATGGGATCTTATGTTTGCATTCAGTACTGATATTGTTTTTTCCCCCCACAATTCTGTTCAACCTTTGCACACTTGCACATTTAGAGAGGAGACGGACAGTTTATCAGCAGCTTCCTCAGAAGTTGTCCCACTAACCAAATGAATTGATTAGTTTGAAGTCGTCTGCATTCAGATTACCAGACAGAGTCCAGATAACTGTCGATGCTTTGCTGTTGCAGAGCCGCGCACAGGATTTCACATAGCTTTCAAAATGCTGGATGTTGACGGCAATGAGCAAGTGGACAAAAAGGAATTTCTCAAGGTAGGACCTCTGACATATCAAGATGACATTAAGCAGAGAAAGAATCAAAGAAATATTGATCATGATAATCACAAGGGACAATATGTGTCACAGAAAAATTGTAATTCTGTTTGTTCGTCTGTGTGCACTGAAATTTCTAAATATACCCACCTTTAATGCTGCCACTGATGCTACCACAGTGTAAGTATGGAGACGTGGATCTGTGTGAAGGTGAGAGACAGCTGAGCTGCTTGTCTCATCTGTTCTGTGTTTGCAGCCTGAGTCAGCTCCTCAATTTACGCCAGTTATTATATATATATATTATATGACTCGCAGTTTCTGTCCCGTCCAATCAGGCTTGTCCTCTTTGATGACAAGAAGACCTCTGCGTGCTAAGTCTTGCTCAGGCCTAGACTAGTAGACTGCATGTTGGCACGTCATGCACCTTGTGTCGTATTGTTTCGTGTTGTGACTTGGTAAAGCGCTCAATAATGCGTTCCAAGTGCATGAAATCTGTTTCAGTCTCCTGTGTGTTTGATTTAGATGAAGGCTGCATCTCTGGTTTGATCAGTGAAATTCTACTTTTTTGTTTTTTTTGGGGGGGGGGTAGTTCAGAGAGGAAGGATGTATGTACTCCAAAAAATCCCGTTCATAAAATGTTTCTAATTTTCTTTGGTTAGATGTTAACAATAATTTGATATTTTTTCTTTTTCTTTGCTGAAGCTCAAGAAAATTATTCGGAAAAGTAAATTGAAAGCTCCTAAGGACACTGAGGTGAGTATTCACATTCTCTTGACTGTCACTTTTCAGCATAACTTACCAAGTGTAACATGTGGCCATTCAGTTTTAATGTTAACTCTACACGTCACATGGTGTTTACAGAAACCAGCAGAGGAAGGTGAAGGTGTGAAGACAACGCTACAGGCCTACTTCTTTGGGAAGAAAGGAGAAAACAAGCTGCAGTACCAGGAGTTCCTCAAGTAAGAAAACGGCTTCAACAGAAACACTCTCACCTTCCTTTACAAAAAGAAAGGAGATAATTCCATCCCATGATTCCTTAAAACAGCAACATCCAAAGTTCTGCACAATTCCACACCAGTAAAATCAGTATGTATGTAGACAGGTGAAAGTGCAATCACATCATCAGCACAGCTTGGTAAGTTGTTAGTCACTCTGTCACGTGTTTCTACATCAGCAGTAGTCTGACTCACTGTATATGAACTGTAGCTATGTCTGCCATTGTCCTACATACCTGCATCTGCCTGTTATTGTTTTCAAAACCCCCTTCACTACAGGAAACAACAGCTACTAGGAAACTGCAATATACACACTGAAAATCACTTGTTGTGACAAAGACTTGGATCCTGCAATCACACAGTCGACTGTCAACTGTGTTTTCTGCAGTGAATTAGCCATTTTAATGACAGTGCTCACCACACCACATATATATATGTTACACCACAACACTATTTTGCAGCGTGTTATCGCCACATAAGTGATTTAAGTCCTTCCTTTGATAGTTACAAAGTTGCAGTGCATCAGGTCTGTTATCTTAGTGTATATATACACAAGTGGATGAAAACTGCTGGATTTCTGAAATAAAAACAATCTTTGAGGTTGATACAGAAGACAAACTGTAAGCTGATGTATAATTACTATCAGAATTTTGTCTTGTATTAATGCAGCATTTTTTTTAAAGTATTAAAGGTATAAAGTCAGACTAACCCTACCATCTATATTTATAGTTTATTATATAGAATATTCAATGATTTAAATAAAAAACAGGAGTTTTTCCCAAGTATTTAGACTTCACTAATAGAGTGGTTAGAAATAGCATTAAAGTGACGAGGTGATATTGTTGGTGCCATTTGTCGTCACGAAGCTCAACAGGACTCAATGCATCACATTTCCAGTAAACCATGTGTCCTTCAGGTTCATGGAGGACCTGCAGGCTGAAGTCCAGGAGATGGAGTTCATGCAGTTTTCCAAAGGTATGGACACCATGCGAAGAGAAGACTTTGCAGAGTGGCTGCTTCACTACACCAACGAGGAAGACAATGAGATCTACTGGGAAAACATGAGGAAGAGGATCCCAGCAGGACAGGTACAGACTCTGCTTCTCCTCTGACAGAAACGTATGCGACAATGTTGTTTAATGTCATGTGACAGTGAACTGACACATCTTGTGTTGCAGAGCATCACATTTGATGAGTTCAAAGTCTTCTGCCTGTTCACCAACAATCTGGAGGACTTTTCCTTTTCAATGAAAATGGTCTCTGAAGCCAACCGTCCTGTTGGAATGGGTAAGAGCTCTTCTGGTTAGGACAGCATCCCCCCTCACACTATTTACAGTGGATGACACTTTTTTTCTGCTTGTGACTGTAGCCCAGTTTAAGCGAGCTGTGAGGATCGCCACCGGACACGATCTGTCTGAGAACGTGCTGGACACCGTGTTTAAACTCTTTGATTTGGACGGAGACAACTGTCTGAGCCATAAGGAATTCCTCGGTGTGATGAAAGACAGAGTACTGCGAGGGCTGAAGGTGAGGTCATTCGTCTGTACCTTTTCACCCGTTGGTTTGTTTGTTAGCAAGAATTAGCAAAAAATATTGTGTGGATCAGCATTAACTTAGTGGAAGGATGTGGTACGGGTCAGGGATGAACACGTTAAGTGTTGCTTCTGATCTGGATCAGAGCTTGGATCCAGGAATTTATTATCACTTTGTGTAACATTGTTGGATAGGTTTTTTTTGTTTTACATTTTCACCTATTTTCCAAGGACCTTGATGAAAAATCCGACATAGTCAATGGACTGGTTTCTAGTTTTCAATTGTTTGCAGCTCGATTGAATTTGACAGGACTATTAGCTCTGAGCGCCATTTTAGTTCCATTTTTGTAAGTTGCCAATACATAAATGTTCATCTTCAGTTATTTCATTCAAGTGCAGACAGCAAATCTGACATTGTGAGATTTTAGCACTAGACACTTTCAAGATGCACCTGTTCGTTTATCACATGTTCTTTTGTGCCCCAGCACGTCTCCTCTGAACGTCACAGTATTGTTGGCTGTGTTTAACTCTGTCCTGTCCTCAGGTGCAGCCTCAGAACGGCTTCTCTGGCTTTTGGAAGTGTGTGAAGCAGGAGACCCTGAAGGGAGCCCAAGAGGCCCTGGGAGACACCGGCTGCCCCTTCTGAACCCCCACGATGTTCCAGGTGCCTGATAGACGATCACTCATTCTGGTGTCGAATAATCAAAGAGTGGCGTGAACACGATTCTAAATGTAACCACATGTAAAGAAAGTAAGGATTTATACCACTGTCTTTTGTATGGATGACATGTTTACATAGGAGCAGATCTATTATGGGATATTAGCTTACTTTGCTGAATGTGGGTGTGGTGTTTACAGTGTATCAGTAATTAATCAAGTCATGCATGTTCTATTCAGAGTGGCTGATGACTTTCAAATGAACTGTGCACTTTACACACTTAGTGTGTTCACAAAACCAGTTAACTGTGTTTCAAGGCATGAATGCTTAATCTGTTCATGTCGCCACATTAACATTTTCACAGGCTTTTATAAGAGATGGTGTGGGGTTTTCAAGTTTGAAATATTTATAAAATAAAGGTTTATTTTAAAAAGGTAAATTTAATGTGCTTAACATTTGTGGTTAATAGAACTCAAACCAGTAGCAGGAAAAAGCAGCTATGACTAATAACTATTTTGTAATTTATTGTAGAATTGACCTGTTAAGATCACATGAGTATGTGGGTTAACCATTGAAGATTGTGGTGCTAATTATTTTATCATACATACAAGTCAAAAAGTAAATAGACAAAACAAGCTTACGTCTGTGATAGATGAACAAATTAGTGACTGATGCCAAGGTTATCAGTGAATACAGCATACACAGCTACAATACAATAAAATTACATTGCGCATGAAGCCATCTTTGGTCTTCTTATCACTATAAACAAATACATATAAATTTGTATTGTATCAAAAATAGAAATTACATAGCCATATTGAAAGTAAATTCACATTTTTGACATACAATATAGGGAGAATACCTAAGAGACATAGTATGGGATTACATTTTTTAATCCTTGGCTTTAAGGACCCAATGGTTTTTTGCCACATTTTGAACATTCATTTGTTTAGAATTGCAGGATTCTGTGAGACCATCCATTACTATCGCTGTCACGCAACTGTATAGGACAATATGGAACATATGTGACAAACACACAAACGAAAGACAGAAGAGATTGTCATTCTTAAAAAAAAACAAGCATGTGCTTTCAATCCTGGGCTTTGAAACGAGGCCTGGTGAGGAGTCTGCTGCACTGGACACGAGAGAGGGACAAATGTGGTCGGGGCTCAACGTTCGGTCGTCCCTCGCAGGTGAGCCGAGCCCTGACAAGACGGACATGTCCTGCCACTTATGAGTGAGTCTTGTGTCGACTGTGTGTGTGTGTGTGTGTGTGTGTATGTATGTATGTATGTATGTATGTATGTATGTATGTATGCGTGTGTGTGTGTGTGTGTGTCGCTGTCTTGCAGGGGTTCAGAGTTATTGTGTTCTCAGAGGCACAAATGATGAACTGCAGCCAGAGGACTCCTGCTTGAGATAATAGGGAAGTGCTTTCAAAGTGTTTGATCCACTGTGGAGAAAGAAGACAAGTCTGTGAGGATTTGGGAACATGGGGTTACAACTGCCAACTTTTTTTTCCATCCAACTGAACAGTGACATTATCTGGGGTTAACAACACTTCTTGCTTGTGTAAAATCACCAGAACAAGCTGTGAAATTGTTATTGTAAATATGACATTTGATTTTAAGGATTGTAGAAAATGTGGCTTTTAATCAGATGTGTCTCCTCTCCATCATAGTGCAGCTAACAGTTTTTTTCAATTATTGAGGTCTGTTGGTTTCTTTGTTTCTGAGGGTGAAGTCCATTAAATATCAGAACGTGCCCATGTCATCATTTTCAAAAATATTTTGTTTCGTCCAAGCAACAGCTCAAAGGCTAAGGAGTCTGAGGAAACCAGCAAATACTAACGTTTGGGAGGATGGATCCAGAGAACTGTTGTGTTTTTCTTTCATTGATTAATTATTGAAATTCTTGCAACAACTACCAGATGCTCTACAGCACATTAAGTAAAATGTTTAGTTAATAACAGAGATGAGGTCACAATGAGGACTGATTAATGAAACTCTAGGACTGAACTTCAAGTTAGTGAAAATTATGCCTGAAAGGTTTGTATTTCCAGTATTTCCTATATATTGTTATTGTCTTTATCATTATTATTGAAACTGGTTATTATGACACATTTTACAACTCAGCATCCACCAAAACCACTGAGGTGTCATGTTGACAGACTACACTTCTATTCCAATAAGGCCTATATAGGTCATTACTTTCATTATTGACTCACCTGCCATTTATCTTTTTTATTAATCAAAAACAAATGATCTAAAATGCTTCTTACAATATCCTGAAGTCAAAGGCGACATGTTTAGAAAACTGGTTTGTCTGCTCAAAAGGTCACGTTCACTATCAGAGAAGGAAAAGAAGAAAAGCTGCAAATCCTCCTCCTGGTTATTTTGCTTGAAAGGAAAGTGCTGAAATAAATCTGTTAATTGATTAACTACCTGTCCCATCAATAAAAACAAAGGATGTGTTGGGGGAAAGTATTTTACAGCATGAACCAGCTGACAAACTAATGTTAGTAGAGGTCATTTTTTCATTATGTCTATTCATTAACACGTTTTCACCTCTGTAACTTTGCACTGCAGCCACTGCTTACTTTACTCAACATGCACATTATACCTACAGGAGCCTGTTCAGTTTGTATAATACTAATTTAATACTAAATAGTGATGTTGATTAGATGTATGATTAATCATCTTTCTACACTATCTCAGTGAATACATTTATCTATTGTGGCAGTGGCAATAATCAATTCAATTCAATTTTATTTATATAGCGCCAATTCATAATTTACATTATCTCAAGGCACTTTACAATCACCTCATCATCCCTGCAGTCTAAGACTTTCTTCACCTTTGTGTTTATGTATTGGATAGTTTGGGATAGTTAGTTTGTTGATGACACTGATTCTACTTTTTGGTGCCATCCCAAGTTTTTTTATTTGTTTCTTTCAAATTAAAATGTTAAATCTAATTACTAATAACGAATCCTAATCAAGCCACTCAGGACAGATTGAATTGACTTATCAAAGGTGGATGTTGGACAGTAAGTAGAAAAATAAAATGCCATCTTACCATTCACCACAACAGGATGGAGACGTCAAGGGTCGCTCTCCTTCTTTACTGTCACATCTCCGTCTCCGGCCAGGATGGTCGAGATCTCTCCCTGCATGAAGGCCCAAGGCACGGTGGATCCAGCCAGGGGACAGCGCTCCCCACTGGGGCAGTACACCTCCCCTCCTTGACCTTGGCTGCGGATGAACCCCCGGGTACAGGGGAAGCAGAACTTGTGGTGCGGGACAGAGGGACACTGGACAAAATGAGTGTCCTCCAAGCGCTCTCTGCAGAGGGTGCAGCAGAGCAAGGTGCCCTGAGCGCTGCTTGATGACTCACCAGCGGTGGTGTTGCTCGGCCCCACCGAATTTAAGCCCTGCCCCATGGATGCCTGGGAGACTGAGGTTGAGGCAGTGGAGGGACTGCTGCTGGTGGGACGCCCGGCTGAGGAGGAGTGGGCTGTGGACATGCTGGGGCTTTCTCTGGCCATCTGACTGGAGCTCAGACTGTCTGCAACTCCCATGAGTGCTGAGATGGGTGAGGGCTGGCTGTGTAAACGGGGCGGGCCTTCTTGGGGGGCAGCCATGCCAGGAAGCGGTTCCATGCCTGAGTATGCACCTCGGGGCCAGGGCTCTCTTGCGCTGTGTTCAGGCCTCCCTTCGCTCTCTCCATTCTCTGAGCCTGGAGAAGCCTTGCGGCGGCGAGTCGTGCTCTTCGCTGGTACGGGGCGTCCAGCAGCTGCCATGGGCAACACTACATCTGGCTGTGGCAGAACCTCTGGGATTGGGGGCTCTTTAAACATCCGCACCCCATCATTCAGCAGCTCAGCCAACCCACGCCAGTCTCCTGTGCCTTGCCGCTTCTCATACTCCACGTATCTCAGCCCGGAGTTCACCGCTTTACCTGCATCTTTAGCCGAGTCGCGGAACATCTGCCTGACCAGGTCTGGGACTCCTGAGAAGATCATTCCAGACCCGGAGGGATACTCCACAAACACCTTCAGCTCAAACTCTGCGGTCGCGCTGGCATCGAAGGCCAGGACGCGACCCATCAGGTTGTGGTCTTTCCTGAAGCGCACATTGAAGGGGACACAGCTGCTGAGAGCTACAAGCACGTCCCTGACGGCTTTGGGGCGGTTTGGCCAGCCTTCGACCCTGCTGCGAGAAATCTCATTCAGTTCACTCATCACTTCATTGTTCCTCCACAGTGCAGGATCTATACCCACCAGAGCAGAGGTGCTAGCCCCCACACCCAGGGACACAGCCTGTCTTCTCCCAGCATCACCCATGATGGGTGCTGAAACTGCAAGAGGTGTGGTCCCACCCCTGGAGCTGGACAGAGGGGCTAACAGCCCATGAGGGGTCGCGACTAACCCCTGGGCTAGCAATGCGTGGGATATGGTGCCATGCAGACCAGGAACTGCCCCAGCTATAGCCCGACGAGTGTTTGGACTCTGCCGGCTGCCCTCGGACAAGGCCACATCTTCAGCTCTGTGCAGGCCATTGGGAAGGCGAGAGGACACCCCATACTCACCCCTCCCCCTGTCCAGACGCTCTCCATGCTGCCGCCCTGCCTCCACGGGCCCGGACGAGCTGGGCTTGCTCTGCGGAGGACCCGGGGACCTGCCGTCTAAAACCCCGTGCGTGCTCTTCAGCTGCCTGGCCGTTTCGATGAGGAGCTCTATTCGGTCTGCGCCGTCGTAGTTGACGCAGCCCCGGCACACGGCCTCGCTGAACTCCCACAGCATGGCCCAGGGCATCTTGGGCAGATCGCAGAGGTAGCACCATTGCCGTCTGGAGGAGGACTGCGAGGCGGAGGACATGTTGTTTACAGGCCCTCGACCAAACTTTCTTCGGAGGCCTTCACGTTACGCGCTGCGCTCTTCGGCTGTTGTTCAGTTGTCGGACTCGAGCCGCCACATGCCGCGGATTTCACCACGGGAAGTCGAAGGAAAACCGAGCTAGAGGAACGCGACCGCTGGTGACGACATTTAAAAGTTAGCAACGTTTCCTCTCTCGGTTTGTTCGCGTCGGTCTGTGTGGAAGGAAGTAAAATGTTATAAGACACCGGAAACACCTACGCGACGACGACGCGGGGCACACTGGGAGTTGTAGTTTTTTTGAACTCGTGTCGCCGTTTCCTTGATATTCTGCTGAACGTCTGTGTTTCCACGTGTCCCTCCGATTTAAAGGCTGTTGAATAAAGTCGCTCCAGACTGTGTGGAGGGTTTGTGACGTGGACCAGGGCAGAAGAGCTTTACATTGTGCTGTGGATCCGGTTTAATGGGCGGATCCAAGATTATTTTGAATCCCTTTCGTCTACGTTTCCAGATAAGAAGACATCCAGTCTATTACTGTGAATATTACTCTCATTTAATAATATCCAGGAAGTAGAGGCATACACATAGTAAAACTAGAAAGAACTATCAGTTAATCAAAGATCCTGGAAGTAGCACAACTTCAAATATACATGATTAAATGTAGTAAGATTTTAAAAACATTGTATAATCGAAGAGAGAACTAGAGAAGGGGTTTTGCAAGATACCTGGATATTCGTTGTTGTGTAATACAGCTGCTGTGCTCAGGCCTCAGCTTAGAAAATGAGCCATTACGCGTTCATTGAAAATATTCATGTGGAGGAAAAGGGTCTTGTCATGAGAAGCCATGTGCTCGGAGGAAGATGAATAGACTGACATTTGATCTTGTGGATTATGACTATGAACAAGAACATCTGAGGTGTATTTCTTTTACTATCAATATCAAAGGGAAAGTGATCAGTTGAGATGTTGAACATACATTTATCATATATTTATACAGATTAGAGAGTATACATCCTTCTGATAATGGTGGCATTATCTTAGGGTTAATGTGTAAACTGTATCTAGAGAGAATTCATGTTAAAGGACACTAGACATGCACATGCAGCCAACGAATAATTCAATCACTAATCGCATAATGTTATGTGGTCTTCACGTAAAACTGAAGTGCTTGTTTGCAGTGATGCATTCTGGGTTTGCTGCCAATTACTCAAAGAATAAATATTGAGGTGAATTAAGACCAATAAGTCAATTTATTAACGCAGCACTTCTAAAATCAATGCAGTACAGGGCTGAGACGGTCATTCACAACAAGTGTCTGGATGTGACTTGTTAGCCACGTGTATGTGTGTGTGTGTATATACATGTATATATATACACACACACACACACACCTGATGAGTTTAGCAAAATAAGATTTGCTAATAAAAGTATGTTTATTGAAATGCAACTGTGATGAACTCCAGCCAGGACACATCACTCTGTCACTGGCCTTGATTTCACTGTGGCCTGACCTTTTTACTTAAAAAAGCTACTTAGATGACTAAGTAAACACAACCAAAGTAATACTCATTATAAATGGTAAATGGTTGTATTTATATAGCGCTTTTCTAGTCTTGAAGACCACTCAAAGCGCTTTACACTACAGTTTTCCATTCACCCTTTCACACACACATTCATACATAGAGTGCTTCTATAGCTAGCACTTTTTGTTGTTCTATTGGGCAGTTTGGGGTTCAGTATCTTGCCCAAGGACACTTTGGCATGCAGATGGGAAGACTGGGGATCGAACTTCCGACCGCTCTTGTACTGTTCACTGAAAGACAATGACTACATATTGGTGACTAATATGAATTTTATTTAAAAACCAATAACAGGCCCACATTTAAATGTTAGATTGGGTTAGTGTGCAATGATTCAAATCCAATGTCGTGTTAACATACTAAATAAACAACCAATTGAAAAACATGGTAAAAGTCAAATAAAATGATACAAAACCAGTTCAAGCACATCAATCCTAGGTTTGGTCATCACTGGTTGAATTTTTAAATTTGTGACAACTGAATTGCAGTAAACTATGCAAGGACACAAAACATTACAAATAGCTTGGGAGAGTATTTAGTTGGCATGGTGTGTAGTTGAGAAACACAGCTTCAGTGTGTAAGGGTAAGGCCCACCTATAAAAAAGACACAATATTAAACATTTAAAAAAGTCATATACATTAATGAAGACTGTAAAATCAACATGACTGTGTTGGTGTGTCAATGACAAGAGTGCTTACTAGGGTTTTTCATCTGGTAATGGTTCATCAGAGAAAGGGCTTCCATGGCGTCATTGATGGAGTCCCACTCCAGCAGGCCAGATGAACTTCGCTCACCTTTTGTGCCACACAAGGCGACTGATTAGATTACCACAATGGATTATACTTAACTGTCTGTTAATGCACTCAACTAAACAGATCTGAATAAGCCTCAGCATAAACAACACATTCATACAATGTATCATATATATATATACTGTATATTTACTGTATATTTAAAAACAGCTGGGTGTATGTACTGCAAAGTAAACTGAGAAACAATCTATTTCTCTGATCTTGATTTGACACTCATCTGGTATAACAGTGAAGAATATTAATGCTAATGATACAACCCTCCCAAATTACAGTTGTATACAAGAGAACTTGATTAGTATGCCAGATTTAGACAATGTATTGGGGCCATGCTGTGGTTTTTTCAACAGTGTGTTGCATATACCATAGGAACCGTAAGGCCAACATACAGCCTGTACGAGTGTTACAATGAACTAGCAGTTATCCCCATCCCTGCATATTACATATATAAATGCTATATGGATGGTAGATGGACAGCATTTATTTAGTGTTTTTTATAGTCTTAACTCAAAGTCCTTTACACAACAAATCACATTCATCTGGTAACACACACTTTTTCTATCACACATCATTCACACAATGAAAGCATAGCCATCTGGGGCAAAATGGGATTCAGTGTCTCCCTCAAGGACATTTTGTGTCACTCTGGATAACACCATTGATCTTCTGGTTAGTAAATTACCTTCTCTACCTCCCCGATAAACAGCACAGTTTCAGGTGTGCATTTTGAATCACTACAAATATCTGTCTACCAACTCATTTGTTTTAAATCTAGAGGGAAGAATCATAAATAACATTCATGACAAAAATGAATTACTTACTTTTTCCAGAGAAAAGCTTCACACTCGTGGGGGTCTTAATTCCCAGTTCATCACACACCTAGAAGGACAGACCAGTGAAAATGTGAAAAGGTGTTTTTTAGATAATCTATCAATCACAGGGGGGACCCTGGTGAATTTCCTTACCTGGATGAAGATCTCTACAGATATGTCAGGCTGTGCGTTAAAGAAGTGCAGGACATTGCTGGGGTGCTGGATTCGGTTTTTGGCCGCCTGCTCTGGGGAGGTGAAGCGGTTGTTGCGGGACCCGTGGAAATCTTTGAAGCTGCTGGTGTTGTCTTCTAACTGGTAACACTGTCCTGGCACGATAGCCTGCTGTTTGGACACACTGCCAAGGAAAGACAGCCAGAAGTCATATGTCTGTGTGTCTAGCTCTACACACCACATCTTCATTTTTTAAATAGTCAATACTAATATCCTGTAATATTTTGGACAGCTCTTACCAAATGCTGAGTTTCTGTCCGAAAAGGAAGTTATTGTTGAGGTGAGTGATTGCTCTGTCCACAGAGTAGCAGTCTCCCATCTCCACCATTGCTGCTCCGGGCTTACTCTTCATGAACTTAACCTGAAGAAGAGAAGCATCCAGCTTCACTACACATAAACAACATCATCATACAATTGTTGATGGAAAACTGTTAGTGGACAACTGTTGGTAGCATCACCTTTCATCTTTTACTCCACCCATCATTTCAACCAACAATGTATTATGTTACCATTCCAACTTCAGTAACCAAAGTAAAGGAGGATACAGAGATCAATATATGGTATCTTACGAGTAGTGCTTCAGGGTGTTTGCCTCCATTTTACTTACCCTCTCTATGTTGCCATAGAGACAGAAGATGTTGAAGACCTTGTCAGCATTGATCTTGGAGGGCTCAAGGCCATACACCATAAGAACTGGGGAGTCAGAATGAGGACCATACTCAGGGGGCGGTGGTCCATATCCAGGGCCATAGCGCTGGCTACCGCGCCCACGCCCACCGATCCCTTGCCCCATGCGGTGAGCAGGAGGGGGACCGCCGTAGCTATCGTCATTGTAGCTATGATAACCTCCTTGAGGGCCCCCTTAAGGAAAGAAAAGGTAAAGATACATTATTGGAGTGTAATCCACCAGTCTTAATGCAAGATCACTGTATTTGTTGAATACTTACCATAATCAGGTGGGTGGTCTCCTAGAAGAGCAGGCTGCCTCTGCCGTTTGTTGGGATTGCCATTGGGATCTAAAATGGGGAAAACAAAAGTTGCCTATCAAACCATTAAATTACATGAGCTACACTGTGATAAGGTGCAAAACTGTGATTGACATGCAACATAAGGAACTAGCATCTAATGTGTAAAAAAAACCTGCAAGCTCTATTTTGCTAAATTAATGTGACATAATGGAGATTTTTAAATGGTGAGTTTGAAAGAAAGCTTTCGAGACCTCCTACATCTGCCATCCTAATACAAACACACACCTTGTGAATTGTTCCAATTGCCTTCACCATCAGCATCTGTGCAGGTACACACATAAACATTTCAAATCCAAAATGAACATTGAAATTTCATAAATTTGGCAAAACTGTATAAACACACTTCTTTATATCTTAGAAAATATTCGGCACAAACATTCATATAGAGGATCAGATATTAAAATAGGCATCAGTTGTATGAGCCACACCTGCAGTCTAAGCATGTTTTATTGGAAACTATGACAACAAATCAGGATAAGACACAGGTTTCACATCAGAAGTGACAAGACGTTGAGCATTTAAACTAAAAAACAGTGTTAAAGGGGAAACAAATTAAAACAGAATTTGATCGAAGTTATCACATGTATAAGTCCATTTTATGGTTTTAAAAGTTCCCACAACCTCCATTTGATACACCAAGGGGGAATTCTGTGCATCAGCATCCATCCATGTTTTTTAGAGGCCCTTTCTGAAGAAGATGAACAATCTCCTTTTAGCTGACTATAATCAGTGTTAGTTAAATAGGGCAATAGTTTTCAGTCTGACCTGTGTGTAGTGAAGTCTAGTCAGCTACACTGATTTTTAAAGCACATCAACCTTGTCTACACCACTGTTGATATATAATATAAATATATATAAAAAAAGCTGTCTACGCGACCATCGTCTCCATCCAGACAAGAATACAAAAATGACTACAAATGCTCCAGCAAGTAACGATCTGTCAAATACCACAGAAGAACATTGTGAGCATGCTCAGTGAGCTAATACTCATAACTGGTATATAGCTGCCATTGTTGTTCAATATGTAAGCTGTGACAGCATTGTTTCCCAGATGCTTCATTTCTACATCTTCATACAGATACTTTGAAATGCATTAAAACATTTTGGTGATTTAAAACACCATGTGGGCAAGCAGCCCAAATCGAGACGAAAACTGTGTTTTTTGCATAATATCCGCATTAGTGTAGGGTGAAAGTCATCTGAAAAAAACTTGGCTGTGCCCTTAAAAGTTTTCACAATTTATTTGTTGCAACATCTCTGCTTGAACTACGTTCAGAAGATGCCACCCTAAAATAATCCAGATAAAACCATTGATTTAAGTAGGACAGATGTGCCCAACTATAGTGTTACACTCAAGCAGGTTTATTAACCAGAAATATAATGGCCTATCAGCAGACATGTTTTCTTATTGACACCCAAATTTAATTCATGTGTTCAGGGAAACAGTTTTAATCTTGGTAAATTATCGATTGTGTTATGAGATTGAAGTACCACACACATAACAAAAGCCCACACACATCCACAGCAAACAAAACCTCCTGTGGTAACAGATGATGTCACTCTTATGTGTCACCACCAAGTATATCAACAATGTTTCTAACTAGAAAACTATATCAGTGTCAGTACAATAAAACACTACATTGAAAATCCATCTGAACTGCCACTACTGCTCCAACACATTAGAATCAATGAACAGCTTTCCAAACGCACTTAATTTGATCTATAAATCAAAGTTATGATTACTCAACCACTGACATGCCCCACTCATTCCCCGAAATACGAAGGTGCTTGGTTACCGAATACAAACCGGTGTAATAACAAAGCCATAAATCTAACATATTCTTTGATTATAGGAACTATAATTTAAAATGGTATGTTGCATAAAAAACTCCAAAGCTTGTCAAAAATCTTTAGTACATCTATTATGTGCTGGTGTTACTAAGGTCCTACAACTGAGACTTTGTTGTATAAACAGGATGGCAGAAATCCTGGGTTTCTTCACATTAAATTTCCATTTTTAACCAAAGTCAGATTATTCATTCATTTCTTTCAAGTACTTACAGCACCACACATGAAGCATGGGACACAGTGGGCAGGTAGGGGGCAGTCTTCAGCAAGGATGCTACCCGCATACCTCTGATTCCAGCCTCAACTCATTCTCCCTCTTCAGTCTTTTCCTTCTTCTTTCCATCCTTGCATCCCCACCACCAGGAAGAAAAGTACATCCAGGTTCCAAGCTTGGCTTTGACTTGCTGCCAGTTCGTTTTGAAAGTTGCAATTAGAGGCTCATTTCCAGCTTACCGTGCTCTGATCACAAAGCGGGACATTTGCACCATTTCAGAGTGGGCTGTCAGTCCACAGACACACTGAGCCAAACCTGCATCACACGGGAGGCGTTAAAGGTATCACTATGGGCCAGTTCAAAAAAATATATTCAAAAAGGGTAAATGAAATCACGCAGAAACAACACAAGAACAGCACAGAGAGGAGGGAAATGGGGAGGAAGGCACAAGGAAAAACAGAACACCAGAGTCCATAAATGTAGAAAGCGTTGCGAAAGGATTGTAATCTGTTTGCCTCTGTGCTTATATGCTTGATAGGTGTCTGATGCTTGTGTCTTCATGGGCCCCCCTGTAGATGTTTCTTCTTGTGTAAAAATGGGCGTTCACATGATGCTTGCATATTTGAAAAGGCATCTAGTGACGATGTGCTGTCGTGGTGGTTCAGCTCTGTGTGTTGTCGTGGATATTCAGCTCGTTGTGTTGTCATGTTGTGTTCGGCACAGGATGGCAGAGACGAGCGGTATTAGCATCTGAGAAAGAGAATGGCATCGTTTTTTTGTTTATTGCCCCACGTATGTGATGTCATCTGTTCCCTGGTCAGGCTGAGTGTGTCTGAAAACTCCTCTCTTGCTCCCTGTGGTTGTGTTATGGCAGTCACATCCCGAGGGCTAAGAGGCGTGGCGGAAACGACCACACGCCTGACTCCAGCCCTCATCGTCAATGTTTTGTGTCAAAAGTGGCGACTCCTCAGGGCTCTGCAGATGTGCTGTACTGGATGAGAGGTGGTGGTAGATGCTTATCAATCTATCGTCAGTCTGTGGTGGATATACAAGGTGTCTGTTTGCGTGGCCTTGGAACATTTCTGTCCCTTAATCTGAAATGGTGGCTACTGTCCGACACCAAAAATAAAGCGGATTCCCATGTCAGGTGGTGGAGAAAGAGGTGATGATGGACTTGGAATAAGGAAGTACAGAGTTGAAGATGTGTTCCGGTGTTTGTTGCCCCACTGTGTCCGATGTAAGCCACAGAGCTGATTTACTTTAGCTGTGGGTGCTGTTATACTGTCGCTGTAGAAGTTGAGGTAAGCCTGTATGAGTTTGCACAGTGAGGACACAAGGAGTACCTCTGGTTCGTAAGGCAGCAAAAACTAGAATACCAAGAAATGTCTGGAGAGGACGAGGTGTCATACACCTGTATGAAACCTGCAGTGTACATGTACTGGCTGTGTACAAGAGAAACAATGACATATTTAAGGAGTATCCGACGAGAAAAGAAAAGAAAAATGAAATACATTTAACACACCAGCAACTGTCTACTGCTGCCCAAAACGAATCTGAAGAAAATGTTTACTCCTGAAATGAGGTTTGAGTAGGACCAAGGCTCCGAGCACAGAATATAACAGTGAAAATTTGATAACATTACAGTTAGTCTACTTGTAATTAGCAGTAACCTGTATTTTAACCAGTATTATGTCATACAAGTGGAAGAGAAGAATGTCTGTCGCCATAATGTGGCAAGTGGCTGATGAAGTTGTCAGACATTGATTTGGTTTGTTTAAGCTTTATAATCAAGAAAGCACCCAATAATTAAAAATAATTTATACATGCTATGACTTAATCTTATACAAAGTTCATTAGTGATTCTAAAAACAAAACACATTTTAGATATTGGTTTGAAAGCTGAACGATGTAGAAGCCATGAAGTGTGTTTGTAATATATATTTTACACCAAAGGTCCCATGAAATGCAAAATGTTCTTTGCTCCATAATAAGTAGTTGTTGACACAGTGACACCCACTGACAGCTTTATGCGCCACCTGCCCTCAATCCCAGGTCAACCATATTGAAATACACATCGAGCAGATCAATGCCTCAAAAACAATCTCAAGGGTCATTTCATGGGACCTTTAACCAGAGGCATGTCTAGCTGTCTCTAAAGTCAACTCAGCTGGCTAGTGCAATGTCTAACTTCAGCTATAAAATCTCCACTATGTTTGAAAGAATAGAACAGGTGTGACAGTCTTTAGTGTTTACTGGAGGAGGGTAGGCAGGGACGTGAGGTTGTGCAGCTGTGGCATGCTCTATAGGGAATGTGAAACTATGTGAAGAATGGTGCACTTGCATATGCTACTGTGTCGGTTGCATTGAGCGTTGTACATGCATGAGACTGTAACTGAAGTTGGCTGCCCTTGAGGTTGCTCCTCATGCCCTTACTTTGTGCCTGCAGTGTGACGAGAAAATGCATGAAGACTGTGAAGGCATCACAGGAATACTGCCTATGAACACATTGTCGATTGGCATGGGGAACATCTGTGATCTGAGGCAGTGCCCCAGGAGGCAGACAACCCTAACCATCCCATACAGTGGCATGAGAGGAAAAGAAGAAGAAGAATGGGAGAAGGAAGGCTTGGGGGCTGCATGTTACCTTGGCCACTCAGGGTGGGGTTAGTGTAGTCCCACGTGTCTTGGTCATTTTTGAAGACATTAAGGCGTGCTGGCTGTAAATTGCAAAAACATTTTTTAGCTAGTTTCCTCTTGGTACAAAGATCGATAGATATTGCCATACACTCACCTTGGCATATTCAATCTTCAGAGTGCAACACCCAGAATAGATGTCTGCCCCATTCAGAGAGGCTTTAGCCCTCTGGGCACTTTGGACCGAATCAAATGTGGCAGCAGCAAGTTAAGGGGAGATCTGATTTTAAGAGAAATTCTGAATTCAAATACATCATCAATAACGTATGTCAGCTTGTTATAGAATCATAGTGTACCAAAATATAGAGCAACATGGCCAATAAAAAATACAGTAGTTCTTAAAAAGGATATTCAACCATGGCTTGAACACCATTCTTCCTGAAGATGACAATCCTCTGTACAGGACCACAGTTGTTACAAATGGTGTAGAGCACATCCTGCAGGAGCACACGGATACAATTAAACCATTTTGTCAGTACTCTTTATGCAAACATCACATATATCACATTTAATACACAACCACAACACTAAAACATACTGCGTTGGTAATTGTTAACTAAAACCAAGTTACTACATTTTGCAATAAAAACATAATTTAGTAACATCAAGGTGGAAATGAAATTCAGTGTACCTGTGCAGAGAATATCATGTGGAAAAACACTTTTAAAAACCACACTGAAATACCACAAAAGCCACCAATTCCCCTTTATAGTTGTTTTCATAGTACTGTTTGATGACTATATTGGCACTCGTACTACTAGTACTAATTAAATTAATCTAGTCCCTTTCTTATTCATTAAGCTAGTTTTAATCACTGCTCAAATCAAACACTACAAACAAAGCTACAAGTACAGTGGCCTGATGAATGATTCGGTCTGAATTCGTAATTATACAGTATTGTATACACATTGGTCACAGAAATGATGACGTGAAGCTACCGTGGTACACAAGGTTTGTTTTCACAATCACATTACCGTGGTGATAGGATAGATGGGGTTTATGATGGTGAGCAGCAGCACATTGTTGACGCTCCGCGTGTCGTCTGCGTCTCCTGGCCGGGAGATCTTTTGACTGGTGGAGTAGTTGATGAAGGCAGGGTGGCCTGCTATGTAAACCTGATTCTCTGCGGCATAGTTAACAGCATTGCAGGAGCCATTCATGTCTTCATACTCCACCAGGGCCTGGCGCTTCTTGGGCATCATAACCACATAACTGTAAATAAATATTTCAAGACGGAAATTACAGGATCTATAGACCAGATCAATTAACCATGCTTCATCTATAAAAAGCATCATTCATAGAAATGTTTAAAATCCTGAGCAACTTGATAGAACTTATTTTGCCTTAACCCAATTTTTATTTTTATGTATTAAACAGCTCATAGTTTAGGCTTTGAGTTTCACTGACTCTATTTAGACCTGTTATTAATCAATTCATATATGTACAGCCCAAATCACAGTTTGTCTCATAGGGCTTAGCAAGGTGCAGCAACATCTGTCATTCACCCTCAGCAAGGGTGGGTAAAAACTACCAAAAAAGACGATAGCAAGCCACATGTGAAGGATCCCTGTGCCTGGATGGTAAGACGTTCAAGTGGAATGATTTCAAAATAAATAAAAGCCATTTCACACCTGGTATTGTAAAGAACCTCACGTGACTACTGTGATCGGGACCAAATGATGTTGCTTGTGCCCAGTCTGAGTTAACTGGTGTGACCACTGTCAATGTGTGTAACTGAGCGAGAGAGACATGTGTCTCTTTCTGTTGAGGGTCTGTTAGTGGTCACTATGAAACTGGAAGGTGTGAGAATGACACCACTGATAGAAGAGAGGGAGAATGTGAGACACACATGGTCTTGGGTGGCCTGACATTACCTGATGACACCAAACTCCTGCAGGGCCTCCACCAGGTCGGCCTCCATGATACCGTCCACCAGGCCCCTGATGTGCACCACCGGGGAGGGCAGCGGTTTGTGAGGGTCCTCGTAGCTCTCCTGAAAATGAAACAAGATGACGCTTGTGGGGTCGTAAAGATACTTCCACCGCCTGCAGTAAGGCTTGGAGCAGCGGCTGAAGATGTGGAAACAGTGGGGCAAATCATTTTTTTAGGAATAACAGGTTGTAGAAGATTAACGTTAGCAAACCAACGTCATGGACGAGAAAAACCGACACACTCTTTACGTTATTCTTCATATGAAGACCTTTAACATGGTCTGTGTCCAACAAAGACAGACATATCGTTCAGTAACTATTCAATCACACTATAGGACGAACCCCATGACCACTGTCATGTAGTTCTATTTGACGCTGTCCCTCTTTATGGCCTGACCCCACCAGCATCCAGGAGAACGGGTTTAACTTGCTAGTTAGCTTCTTCATTTTAGCCAGCGGCGAAACCAGCATCCTCCCTTTTTCAGGCTTAATTCATGTCTTAGAAAAGCAAAGCCCCGCACATTTCAACACAGCACGCCACTACAGTCATGGACAAACAGCAGAGCCTCACCGTCGTCATCCCTCCGTCCTCAGTTTTCTGTCTTTTCGTCGCTCTGCCACCTTCTCCGTAGTATCGGCCCGCAGCGGCAGCCATGTTGTCCTGTCTGCTGGAGCGCTGCCGCTTTCAAGGTGTGTGGGAAAAATGGGCTTCTGTTGCACACCCGTTTTCCCCAAACTCCAATTTCGTTCTACAAATTGTCCAAATATTGATATATTAATATATTTTCCTCGCGTTAACACGTCTCATTCAGTGGTGATCAGACATTGTGATCACAACATGGCTTTTAAATTAACAACACTTAACATTGCCACTTATTTTTGATAGTTTTCTACTATTACTTGTGTTTCTTTTATCAGGTTCTCTTAATTAATTCTAAATGATCGATTTTAGATTTTGCATTGTTTTATTTGATGTCTTGGGTTTTAGACATTAGACCATATGAATTTGATTTTAAATGTCATTGTACTAATGTAGTAGTAGTTGTACTATTTAGACCAAGAACAACCATTGCTATATTTCCAATGGGTGGCCCTCACCTTGATCATTCATATCACATGTCTCAGATCTGCCAGTGTAGATCTGAGAACTTTGGACACATTTGTTATGGATAGAAACCTAACCAGCCCCCGGTTTCACTCGACTCAGTAATGGACTGTGTTTAAAGATGGACAGCTTTCAAAAGTCTAGATAATCATCTCAGTCCACTGCTGTGGGTTAACTGCAGTACTGGTCATGTTAGTTGATAAGACATGGACCACACTAAACAGTCAAAGTAGATGTTAAATATATTTTCCTCAAATATGGGCTCTGTCATTTTATGTAGTTTTTATAACACTGATGTATGTCAGAGTGTTTCTGATATATTTGGTTTTAATTAGTTATTTGATGCAACATCATGATTGGCAATCGCGTATGATTGGTCTAGTGCATGTATTACATCTATAAATGTCATTCTTATTATTTTCATGATAACAACCTGACAGAGCTTAAACAGATGTTACAACAATTCCTGGTCTCTCTCCTCTTTCTCCCTTTCTCTCTCTTTGCTATACAACTAAAATTGAATTGAATAATAGGCTTGACCTTTGACGTAAAATATGCAAGTTGGCAGCACCAGAGTCCAGTGTCATCCATCTTGATGTACATGGACTCAATGCTTTTCCACTCAATGTTTTTACACAGCCTGGTATGTTGATTACCAGTATGCTGAAAAATATGTTTTCCCCATGATGTATAACTTACTTTGTAAATGAGAAATTGATCAGAAACTCAACTTGAAAATTTACCCAAAAAATAAAGCTTGTCCCTGTATTTGCACCAAGGCATTTATTACTTGAATTGTATTTCAGATTTCTATTTTGTGTTCATGCCCTTTAAAAAACATTTTAACATCATACAATCTTCCTAAATATCCAATTATTGCCCTTTTAGGAACCCTGAAGCCATGTGCATTTTACATGTGCAAACCTGGAAGATGTCTTCAGGGTTTAAAAGCCTAAGTTTGCATATTCATATCAGTGTTCCCTACATTTCACATTCCCTCAGAAAAGCCATGTCCTCTTCTGCATTAATGAGGAAGTAATGCAGTTCGTGACCACTGTGGATGATGAATCCGATCCAGACACTCAGGTAAAATTTCAATATAATTGACAACTTACAATAAATGACAATAATATACTTTTGTTCATCAGGTCAAATACAATAAATTATAAAGACATTAAAATACAGCATTGATAAATAAACATGTAAGACTTATCAGGGTGTATGAATCACTTTCAAACAGTCACACTAAATGGCAGATACTAAGTAATTTTTTTTCATTCTACAGCTTATTAGAAATTCATTGTCTGTGTAACTCATTGTCAATTTTACATTTCAATATGACGTCCATGTAATGCATTACTCATCATTATCATTATCAATATTTATTGTGAGATTACCGTTAGTGGGTGCAGTACATTCCACTAAACATGTCATATCTTGAAGAAATACAATTTAGCAGTGAAATATTTCAGAGGGTGTTATCTCCCAAACAGTGCTCAGTTTTTATACCATGGCCACAGAAGCTGTTTGTTTCTGAATGGCTGGCAGGGTTTAATCAAGAATCTACACCAGGACAACTCACAGTTTTCATCAGTCTAGCTATTGATTTAAATCTGTTCACAAAAACTGGAGGTAACCAAAGCAACAGGACTTTTGCACAGAGTTATGTTTTGCATTAACTGTAACTGACTTGTAGTGAGTGAATAATGCTCAGGTCCAAGTTTACTGGCATTAAATAAACCTCATAAATGTATGACGGTGAGGAGTGGCCATGGCATAAACGTATTGCTACGCTCAGAGGTGTAATGATATAAAATAACAGCAGGCTCCACTGCTGTAACACAAAGAGGAGTAATGTTCAACCCTGATTTTCATAGCAGCTTGTTTTGTATCATCACGTAATCATGCAACCTGACGTTCCTCTTCTTATTTATTTATTTATTGGGTTGCATAATGTAATCTACGGATCCAGCCTCTACAAGGAACAAGACCAAATTTGAAGCCCAGGTTATAGCCATTATGAAGCAAAATCCAGTGACTTCACGGAGGTGCAGTCCATTTGATCTCCTTCATCAAAAATGGTCACTGCAGGTTATTTAATCCACTTAGGGGAAAATAACCGGTCTGTATTTTACTGACTGGAACTATCCTGAAGTGGATGTAACACACAAATTTGCATGTGCAGGTCTGTAGAATTAATTATTTTCTTCTTGAACCATGGCAGCAGTTGTCAAGTGGTGACAGGTCTTGTCAGTGGTAGTTACTGTAACAGCACTGACCAGGTCAATGTCTTGGTGATGTGTGTGTTCGCAGTCATTACTCGCCACACCGCGCTCTCTCAGAAGCCTTGTATATGGCAATAGGCCTCCAAGCTGGAGAAGAGAATGTAGAGGAACCAGAGTCCAAACAAAAGCAGTGTGGTGAGGACTCTGGGGATCCGCGGGCCTCCCAGTTCGCCGCCAATGGACGGCCTCCGGCGTATCATCAACACTCCCATAGTGAAGAAGGCAAAAATGGTGAAGAGTGTGACGGAGAAGGCCAGCGAGCCAGGGTCCACACGGAAGACCTTACCTTTGACTTCCCAATACACAGCAGCCACAGACCAGGCCACCCCAATACCCAAAAACACATTAACTGCATTGCTTCCAGTCACATTCCCCACTGATGCATCTGCATACTGGTCCTGAGTGGCAGCCACTTTACTGGCAAACGTATCTGAAAAAGAAAATAGTCAAGTTGCAGAGTGTACTATCCTTCATACTTGGGGACATACAGCATATGGAGCTAAACAGTGACTGCCCACTTTTAAATCAGCTCTGGCTCCAGAGGTAAATTCCCCTTTCATAGATAGGATACAATATTATGTCTGATAATTAAAATCTCTATTTTTAGAAAATGAATAGGATTTTTACTTCCTCAACCACACCGTTGAGCTTTATTGCATTTGCTTCAATCAATACAAACTGAGGTACATTTCTCTCACCAGGAAGTGAAGTCCCCAGTGCCACAAAGACCACTGCAGTGACAGCGTCCCGCAGGCCCACGGTGCAGCCAAAGTGGGAGGCCAGGTCTCCGATAAAGGCGGTTAAGAAACCGATGACAGAGATTGATACTAAGAAGCACGCCCAGCCATTCCAGATATCGGTGGGCGGGATACAAGCAAACAAAACCTTCCAAAATAAGCACAATATGTGCACGAAGTAGTCGAAGCAGTTCGGCATCCGCTGCTCTTGTCCCTCATCTTCATCACCTGATTTAAGAGGACACAGTGAAGAAAAATCAAACTAAGCAACCAAATGCATCAGCCACAAATTATACAATCACATTTTGAGTCCATCAGCTAATATTGTTATAATCAAGCTGTAAACAGAGTATTGCATGCACATTAGTCTTCCTTTGTGGTTCCATCCTGTCTCGGCAACTCACCCGCCTCTGGTATTTGTGTGAACACTGCCTCTCTGCCAGAAAGTTGTCTTACCTCATGGTTTTTACACTTAACTCACTCAGCTGGTTCTGAGCCTGTTAAGTCTTGTATTTTGTATGTCTGCCTACCTGATTTATAACCTAACCCAGGATCTTTTCTCTGCGTTTGTTGTCTTACTGTTAGGATTTTGCAAGAACCACTTAACGTATTAATACACAACTTAGTGGAGGGATGTGGTATGCGTTCGGTACAGACAACATTCAATTTTGGTATGGATCCAGATCAGGAGTCCAGGAACTTTCACATTCTCTAAAACTTTGAGAAGTAGAGTATTTTCTACATTTCTTTGATTTCTCAGAGAATATTTCTTATGAAAAAAATATCTACTGATATTTATGTGTGTGCATAATTTGGTGCAGTGAATTTAAATGTGGTTTCATAAGGAGACAGTTGGGCCTTGGTGTAGGTTTGCCCTTCTAGTTCAATTGTGTTATCAGTTGACTCACACTATTTACTACTGCATTTTCTTATTGTTCATTCAATCTTCTTTCACCTACTCCCTGCCTCTTTCCATACACAGTCAGACTGTGGATGCAAATCCTTAATCAAATGAATAAAAGTTAATTTAACCATTCTGGAACAGACTCATCTCACATTTTAAATTGAAGCTTATAATTTCTGGTCCAGTAACATGAGAACATTTAAATGGACCTCTTTTCCACAAATATTACCTGGTTGAAAAAACATATATGTACAATATATTTGCAGCTGCACTCCAAATTATCTCTGATAGGGAAGCACTATATATACATAGTATATCAGCACTGTGTGAATGTGACAGATGTTGAGCTTTTACACTACATTACACTACAATCCTGTTTATTTACAGGTTTCACACACACAAAAAAAACAGATGCATTTACAGCCACTGACCTGCACTGACTGTGACTGCTTCAATGAACTGCTCTCTCCATGAATGAGTGCCAATCACTACTGCCAGGTTAGTGTCCTTCAGGAGTTTGTCCACAGTGTTCTGTTATTGCACATTGAAAAGGTCAGTGAGAAGACAGCTCATATATTTGCACATAGATTATATGGTCCACATGTCTCTCTTCAGCCTCTGAAGGAATTTGTTCTTCAGACTCTCAAAT